TAAAAATTTGTAACATCCTATACAACTCGCGCCACAGCGTCGCATTACAAGCCTCTCCTTCTAACAGTATGTTTTGACTCTTTTAAATTCATTCAACCCATTCATATGCTTCGTGACCTTTACAAATGAACTTTACGTTACAGTTTTATACGTAAGGGTGTTCTAAAATTGTTTGTTTTGGAAATTTTAATAACTTTGTAAATATTGATGTTTTAATGAATGTAAATTTAATACAATTTTAAAAAGTTATCATCTATATGTGTGTTCATTTATTGTCGCGGTGGTAACGACACGCTGTATATTAGATGAACTTGTATCTGAGAGAATATTATTGTATTTGTCTTAAGTTTATTGTTAATATTTATCTTTACGGGTCGTAGACTTCAATTCGCGTTAATTAAAATTTTAAATAATGGATAAGCCAAGAAACGTCATAATGATCTTTTGAAATTAGCAAATAAATTAATGTAATTCTAATCAAGAGCTCGATTGCCAGAATGTATTACGATTACTGTGGGGGGCGCGAAACAGTTTCTGATTTTGCACTTTTCTTTTTCATGAAACTTGTTTTCGGATTTTATCGCGTTTTAATTTTGATTTTGTTATCCTCGACGTTTTCAACCCATTCCAGCGCTCTAGGCCTTGGCACAGACAGAGTTGTTTCAAGTCTTAATGTCAGAGTTAACTCCGGCTACGGTCAATTATTTTCATTCCGATCTACGCAAAAGGAGCTCATGGTATCGTGAGGTGTGGCAGTGTTGGTCTGCTTGGATTTGAATATGGGCTCCCAAGCAGATGATAAACCCCAACCATCTTCTCTATTTAAATTAGGATATTTTCTTTTTCCAGCTTCGTAGAAGAGCAACCTAAACTGGAAGTATTATACTTTCGCGTTTCGCGTGGCGAGTGAGGTAATCGGGGCCCCACTTGTTTTAAACTTGCCAACGCATCTACAAACTGGCACATTTTTTAGATGCCCACGGGAGATGGTAATCAAATAACATCAGGTCAACCGCCAGATGGCTTAACAGCTTTAAAAAATACAACATAATGTTGGCAACACTAAAGGAAGTCATTCCTTGAGGTTGTTGGCAATACAAAAAGTGTCATTCTGTGGGGTATAAATGAAGCTGCAAGAAGCATTTCGTGGTCTTCGTCTTCGTCTTCTTCTTTGGCTGTATACACGATAGTGCTGTCCAATCGTTATTATAAATTAAATCGTTAGAGTGGCGTTTCATTAGTGATATTAAAGTGATAAAATAAGTAATTATACCAGTGTTATTGTTGTGCAAAGTGAAACTACGGTGATTTGGTAAAAGTATTTATATTTCTACCTTCTTAGCTCGATAAAACAAAGTATAGCCAACAATAAGTTTTACAAACTGTAAACAAACAAAAACAAGGACTAACTTAAAATAAACAGTACTAGAAGAGTTTTTGTAGGTCACACATTCTTGTTCCGGCGGAAATCGATGTCACGCCTAAGACTCGCTAGCCTATCTATTAAAAATATGCCCATCATGTGGACACAAACATAAATGAGATTAAAAAGTCGATTTGTAATATCAAAAACTGGAGTTGATTGTTACATTTGGTGATATTCACTTGACATTTATTCCTAATGACATACATGCACAGTTTATTCCTTGAATAGGAATCGTAAAGTTCAATTACTGCAGGTGTGGCCGATAACATATTCAAATATCGTCTCACTCTGTCGCTTCCGTTGAAGGCCGTGGTGTCGTCTCGCTCGCTCGCGTCATTACTGGGGCTTTGCCCTCAACACGTGCGATACAGTTGAGCATAGGCTGCGCATGCGTTTTGATTTTAGTGGATGAATATATTTTTGTACGTTTAATAAAAAACTGCAATTAAGATGAAAATCTTAAGTTGATAGTTCTCTGTCAACAGGTTTAATTTTTTAAAGCGTAGACGGCACGACTATAAGTCGTGCCGTATACGCTTGCATTAATACAAGCACAATCATTTATTTGAAAGGATAAAAAATTATATTTGAATTGTACATTATTATTGTTTGAGTTTATTATTTACAATTTTGTAACATTATTTAAGCTGGAATGTATGATATTATTAAGCTTTATCTTATTTAAGAATTTTGCTCGCTCGCTTTTTGATGAAATATTTTTATGATTAGTAGTTTGCCCCGTATCTTTGTTATATTATTACCACGGAAGCAAAAAAAGTAAAAAGGCTGGTTAAACAGATGTTTTGAGAAATAGGGGATCAATCATTATTCAAAAAGGACTGTTATACTATTTTGATTTTATTTTTATTTATATCATCCCTACTTCAGTCGTTTTAGTACAATTTATGGTAATCTTAACTTAAATACACTGTAGTTCAGCAATTGTTTCACGTTGTCCCGGGAAAATTAAGAAACGTGTATATCCCGCTGTGTGCCTAGCGGTGTAGTGTAGCACCAAATAGCTCTGAACGCCGGTAACCGTGAACCGAAAAATCCTTTGAACGGTAGATTTAACTGCATTCTGGGCCGTGCTATGCCGTAAACAATTTCCGAAGGAGATAATTTTCACAGAAACTAATGATATATAAAATGCAAAGAGAAATTTTTAATGATATCCTGTTGCAACTAAAAAATTTCGATATTTCAAACTGATCGCAAATTTTTTTTGATGTCTGCACATCTCACAAGCTCTGCTATGAAACTATTTGAACAATCCCTTTGTATAATCCTATCGTTTTAATGTATTAATCAATTTTTTCAAATTAATGCATGTACTTATTAATGTATTAATTTAATTGACGAGGCTACAATGAAAGATGGATAGAAAGGATAATTAATTAAGTGCATAATGTACAGCAAAATACTTATTAAACAAGACATTTTAAGTAAAAGTAAAACATAATTTAATGATTATAAAAAAATGAAGTTATCTTTATATCTTACACAATAATTAAAGAAATAATTGAAAAGATACATAGAGGATATATATTTTATTGCGTGCTAATCGGTGAAGGTGAAACATCGGTCAGGAAACCTGTTTCAAAATAATAATAAAAAGAAAATATTACGAAAATATTTTTAATTTTGCCAATCTGCAGTGGGGTCCTGTGATGGTCTGTGAATTAATACCCTCTTGCCTTTGCCAAGCTGTTTTGGCCGTTACTTTACTTTTTATATTTCTTGCTACCATAAAGAATTATGGCATAAATAGTGTGCAAATGGACATATCCAAACCCCTAATATGATTTCTATACAAAATCAAATTAAATCATTTTGATCACGTTCGTCGAACTACGGTCAAATTCTATAATAGTTATAATGTACTGTGTCATCGCATATTATATGGTAAGAACATAAAACTGTTATGATATCACAGACATTGTAAACATGCTTGTGATATCATTACAGATAAGGTACGTATAATATAGTCCAATAATAAAAAGATGCTTTTCTACTTTTGTTAGTCCATAAGTTTTCGACTTTTGTTAGTTCGTAAGTATTAGTCCGAATAATTAAGTATTATTCGGACTAATACTCCTTCACTTACATATTCCTTCACTTTCGTCATTCCCCTCACTAAGTGAGGGGAATGACGAAAGTGAAGGAATATATCGATATATCGATATTTTCTCTGTAGGCCATAGAAACCCCGTTGTCAAAAAAAAAAAAGATATGACAAGTATTAAATAATTGACACGTACGGACTCAGTGCCCGATTCGAATTTGAAAAAAATTCGTTTCTGATTAGATTTTCGATATTGAATATTTTTTATCGATATATCGAATCCAAATATACCGGCTGAAAATATCTGTTCAATATAAAATCAAAATTATTTATATATCGATATTTTTTCGGAATCCCTACTTAATGACTACTATAATATGCCGGGATATGAAGATAAGACGCAGACTCGGTTCGATCCTTCCTTATTGGATTTTACCGCATTATTCACAAATGAATATATGAAACATTAGTGTAATTTAAATGTGGTATATAGTCTGTAAGTTATAGTGCAATTAGGTTTACCGATTGAGGTCATATTCAACCAATAATATGTTTGTTAACCGTTTGTGTAATCGTCTTTAGTCACGTCGCTATAATTGATTCGTGAAAATGTTTTTGTTATCATTGGTACCGCCGGTGGCTCCAGTGAGAGCAATAGTTTCGTACGGTATACAGAAAGTATAATTCTTTTTTTTTATGTGAGAATTTTTTTTATGAATTTCACGTGATGTTATGTGTGTAGTGTTGTCAACATAACACACACTACAGCCAATCACGACGTGCGTGATCGATTCATAATTTCCTTTTTGATAGTTGAACTTTTTGATGGTTAGCTAAATTAGACCTGTCCAGAGAAGAACCAGCATGAAACTTAGTAGTAGCTAAGCAAAATATTTACGTATAGAATTAGCAGCAGCCAGGAGACTTGGAAGTGCAGAGCAAGCGTAATTTCCACACATCCTTGTCCTCAATGTATTCTTAGACATTGTAATAGGCACTCAATTCGTCTCCGTTCTTATGTTAGAAACTACCCGTGCTAGAATTTGCCCCTACTTGATCTCCTATCATGCCTACGTCAGGACGTTGTCTGATTCCGTCTTTGTTCGCTTACAATGTGGATTTTGAATTAACGTTTTCTGAGTTAGCTTTTATGACATTACCAATGACTGTGATAGTAAAATAACGCGTGAGTCATTCGCCAATCAGTGAAAAAATCATTACTAAACATTTAAACCTTGATGAATTTGGAAGAATCCGTGGCGCACTTGCCGAGGTATTCGCTTCGGCGACGGGGGTCGTGAGTTCGATTCCCACAAGGGTCACCTATTTATCTGACCAATATATGTCGTGAGTTCGATTCTGTCATCTATTTGTCTGATTAACAGATATTTGTTTCGGATCTGGGTGTTTGTCCACGTGAAATTTATGTATGTGAAACGTTCTTACAAGGCAGGTAAATGTATCCTACAGTAAAACTGTTTTTTTTTTATTCAAAAAAGACCTTCCTCAAGCTATTGTACTAAATGTCAATTGTATCAATTCGGCTACCGTTATAAATATCGCCGAGCGCTCGGCCGCCACTCCAGCACAATCTAGGTTATTGCGTCCACTTGCTCCCAATCTGGACTTCCTTCTCGGCGGCAATTTCGCGACGCCACATTCGGGACGTCCCACGGTGTCCCGGATTCCGTGTCGTTGAACCGCCCCGCCGGTCACGATTTGGCACTGCCGAAAATTGGGCCTGATTCGATTACGCCCGCTTGTTTATAAGAGAATTTGGGTCGATATATTTTCTTGTTTCGTGCCTTTCGTCTCGCCTTTTCTTTTAATCATTATATATTGAAATTGATTTTTTTTTTTTTTTTTTTTTAAAACATCGCCCTTACTTTAGGAAAACATTACATACATAAATTTCACGTGGACAAACACCCAGATGCGAAACAGCTATATGTGCTTCACACAAATAGTTTTCCCGTGTTCTAATCGAACCTACGACCCCCGATGCCGAAGCCAATACCTTGGCAACTCCTCCACGGAGTCATCAAATTAATTATAACACCTGTTCTTTACCCGTGTACCGAATGACGATCTTAATATCTGTACTTACACAATGACAAGCAAAATATTTTTAACGAAAAAAATAAAATAAAACTGACTTCAAATTTCTAAGACACGATACATTTTAATGCTAAAAGTAACGAAGTGTTTACTTTGTTTCAAAGTTTTTGTAAGAAACCTCAGTTTTTATAGATCACTAGCGACCCTCCTCGGCTTCGTACAGGTGTAATGTATTATACATATAAACCTCTTGAATATTTACGGTTCAACATCAAGTCCGTTGCGTATGTTTAAAAGATCTGCATAATGGACATACTACATATCTGTTACTGTTGAAGTCGGATATAAAGTTTGTGATTTGCTAAATTGTGATTATTGTTTATTAAATCTAAATTAAGACAGGATCTTAATCTGTGGTAATGCCACGCTAAAGTCTTAGTGGTTGCACAAATAGGCAGGTCCATCCTTGTAAGTACCACCACTTCACAGAAGACCGGCGTGAAGTGGAAGTGTTATACTTCTGCGTTTCGTCTGGTGAGTGAGGTAGCCGGGGCCCACTTTACTAAAATATAGCAACGCATCTGCAATTAATCTGCTAAATCGCGGAAAAAACGGATGGTGCAAATGTCAATGGGCTGTGGGTATTATTTAACATCAGGTGAATCGCCAGCTGGCTTGCTTCTTTCTCGAGAAAATATAAATAAATTGAAATAAACTTTATTCTGTATTCAGAGACATTAGGTACATAAACAGTTTTTATTTCTCGGAACAATTATTTGTATGCAGTGCAATCACTAGGCTCTCGGTTGCAATCAAATCCACGATCTGAAAAGATTGGCGAATGCGCCAACGGAGCTGTTATAAGAACAAGATTTGGCCCTGTTTAGTCCAGTGTCGTTGAACCAAATCTATGTATACGGTGCGCGGGGAGAAGAGACGTTACTCGTTTTTTCAAAACCTTCCGAAAATAACAAAATTCATTTAAATTTATGTATCAGGTGTTGGTCGTAAACTGAAATGGGTCGTTTTCTTCTTTATTTCGATCATTATCTGAACTTTGAAACGTAATTCGCATCTGTTCACATTATCACTGCGCCAATTTTCTACTTTTGCACGAATGGGAGGATTTGCCACGGCCACAAACCGTGGTAGAGTGGAAGTATTATGAATTGTTACGAGGTATAATTATATAGTTGTCATTTGCCTTGACTGTGCGTGACTTAGAAGATCTATTGTGGTCTTCTGTATCGTGTGTTATAACGACGTTTTTTCATGCATAAGTTACACGTGGACAAACACCCAGATCTGAAACAGTCATCTGTGGGTCACACAAATAGTTTTCTCGTGTGGGAATCGAATACCTCCGGCGCCGAAGCCAATACTCTGGCAACTGCGACACTGAGTCATCGTGTTCAGTGTCGCAGCGTCCATACAGGAAACTTCAACCCTTCAGATGTTAGACGTCCGTGGCCAGTGGTAATCGCTGAACATCAGGTGAGCAGTCTTCTCGCTTGCCACCTTATCACATAAAAGCTGTAAGGCTACACAGCATATAGGCTTTAACGGAGGTACTGCTTTTAACACCAGTGACTTTATCTACATACAGTTATCTACATTTCTACAGTGACATCCGATAGGATAGGGCAACCAGAAGAAGAAGAAGACTTTTCGTGAAATATTTGTGTGTAATTGGGCCACTCCTCCGAAAATCGGCTTCAAAGTCGATTTTCGTGAAATTTGTGTGTGCATATCGGCCAGGGTTTTTGTTTAATTTTTTTACAAAATCTTGTTTTTATTTTTTATTGTTACAGGGTGGTCCACCCCTATTTTTTTTTCACCCCTGTACGCAGACGTAGTCGCGGGCGGCAGCTAGTCTTTATATATATAATTCTTCTGTACGTGTGAATGTCACTGAACTCCTCCTAAACGGATGGACCGATTGAAATGAAAATTTTTGTGTGTGTTCAGGTCGATTCGAGAATGGTTTAGATTCACAAAGTTATTAAAAACAGATTGAAATTTTCTAATTTAAGTCGTGTGTACAGGACAACGTCTGTCCGGTCCGTTAGTAATAAACGAAAACGGTTCTAAGGCCGATTAAAATATGCGATTAAATTATGCGTTTATTAGTAAAATTAATGTAATTATATTCTTTTGTCAACCAGCTAACTATCGCTCATTATTCTTGGCAAAGATTAATTTTCTGTTCTTACTAATTCATGACTAGTAAAAGTAACAATAAATGTAATCTCCGAGTCCGCAGCCGCGACCCATTTATTTGGTGCGTTTCAAGTCGGTTCTATCTTTGGAACAATGAGGGCTATTAGTCATTTGGGTCGTAACAAAAGCATGTATATGTACTTGTTTGCTTTTGGTGCCTTTTGCTTATTATCGAGTCGCAATGTACTGAACCGTTACGATAATTAAAGGAGCTGAAGTGACCGACACGTAGATTCGGTACCTAGTGACAGTATTTATGCTGTTTTCCTTTGATCAGATTGTCTTACTTGTTTACACTTGTCGTTGAATACACGAAGCTAGATGTGAACTCGAAGGGATTGGACCGGTATACGAACAACATGGCTTTTAAGGCAGCTAAATTATCAACCGGACCCTAGCGCGAGTGTTCGCAAACATCGCCCGTCCATTACCTCATGCACTAGGTCGAGGGAGGAGGCGAAATGTGTTCAGATAGGTTCTTACCAAACAGCACCATACACATACGTAGCTTTAACGTATAACAGATTATAGTTTTTCCACGAACACAAGTACAACCATCGTACACAAGGTACCAAGGTGCGTCTCACCACTCGCAGGGAACCAACTTGACAATTTCACGATCTCCCTGCTCGATCTCGATGGCTAGAATCCGATCCATTTGTTAACTCAGGCATCTGTACACTCGTGACCTCTGCTTGGGCAGGGTCTATGAAGCTCGTGCAAACTTGATTTTTCCACGAGCTGTGTGTCAGATTAGGGTCATATAGACTGCGGTCTCAAAGCGATATAAAGCAAAAGCAAGTATAGCAAGACAGGTATTTACTTTCACAAAATCTTTGTGATGTTTGTATTCAGTCGTGTACTAAGCCGCATGTCAGACAAAATCGTCCGACATCGCAGGTAATGAGTAACAATGTTTAATTAATGGAATGTTTGGTCGACTGCTCGCGTACTATGGTCCCTACCGCCTCTGTTTCGTCTGGCGCGCTTGAATCACCGTCGCCGATTACGTCAGAGACGCGCACCACGTGCTATGCGGTGATTACGTCATAAACAGCCCAACACCAGACGTCCAGTATGCGCAGTTATATAGCATAGTAATTTGTACTTTCTTGCCAGTGTTTTGCGTGTAGGCCAATTCTATGTGCTATCTTTTTTTTTCTATGATTAGGTGATAGCAAATTGATACGATTACATGCGATTGTAATGGTAGATATTCCGACCTTCGTATTGGTTCCTGGTCTTTTAATTCGGCGCTGGGGTCAGTTTCGCAATATTTGCCAAAAAGGCAGCTCCCATGTTGATTCTTTTTAACACGCTTTTTTTTGGAATATTTCGAAGTCGAAGGAGCGTGCGTTTAGGATTCGTAATATATATACGGCAGAGAAGTGCAAAAAGACAAATTTTATGTATCAGATCACAGATCAGATCGCGAACAATTATCTGTGGGTCATACAAATATTTGTCCTGCTTGGGAATCAACTCTCACTGCCAAATCCAATTACTTGGCAACTGTAGTAACTGTACCGTCGAGTCTCCACACAGCAACGTTCAAGAATTAATTTAAATATAGCGTTGTATGTCGCTTCATTGCGAAGACAAAGACAATTCGTCTTTAGAGATTTGTGTTCGTAATTCGGCCGAACCAAATGCTTATTCTTTCGAAACTCGAATAAATTTACATTAGTGTCAGACGAGCGGCCCGCGAGACGGAATGAGCGTCGTTCACGGTTAACCGAACGGTTCAAGTTCAGCTCAAATTTAACTTAACCGATTGCTTGGAACTGAAGTTAAAAAGTCGCGGCTTGCGACACGATGCCGTAGTTAAGGTGGGCTGCGTGTGTACTTTAGAGCGTCGGTGGTACCGTACCGGGTCACGGCATTCCCACGGCGAGAGAACAACGTGTAATGACCCGCTATGTTGTCCTGGTACATGCCTTAATTGTGTCGATCAATATTGCCCCTGTTGTGTGCACGCGATGCTTCCACAGTCTCCCACAGTCTTGACACCACATTGATTACGTTTTTAAGCCACGAAAGAAGACTAAGCATTTGCTGGAAGTTTCGACGACCATGGGTATAAATGTTTTTGCTCTCCACCAGAGAAAAAACTGCACGAGGACGCAAAACTGTGACCGTCACGCGGTCGTAGGCATCCGGTCAAACGATACCCGTCTCACCGGAGCCATTAAGGATGTTTACACACAGAGCGGACGCCCTCTCTAATTACATTGACAGCATCCAGTGGCCGCAGATTAAGAATAATGCTGTCGACGCATTTGCCAGTGACAGCCAACATACCTACTTATGGAGATGCTGACGCCCAGTTTCTGAAACACTGATCATCGTAGATGTCAGCTAATTAGCTGTCAAATGGCTTTTCAAATATTTAATAAAATATTTTAGGACACATCTTTACACAACGTTCTCTCGTCCTAAACTAAGCAACGCTTGTACTATGGGTACTAGATCACTGATAGACATACTTAAACATACTTTTTTTTGTAAATAAATACGTATTAAACTTAAATAAACACCTAGACACTAGAAAAACGCTATGTTCATCACACAATATTTTTACAGTAGTGGGGATCGAGCCCACACCCTCTGGCGCAAGAGGCAGGTACACTAGCCACTACGCCATTCGGGTCGTCAAAATGTCATTTGAGTTGCCGAAAAGATGGTTAAACTCTTTGAATTGATCATTCTTATCATTAAGAAGATCATTCAGGTCAATTCAGAGAGTCTAACCATCCTTTTGGCAACTAAAATGATATTTGTAAAGCCATTTGACAGCTGATTAGTTGGCATCTACGATGATCGGTGTTTCAGAAACCGGGTGTGAAAGTACTAGGTATATATATAACTAACGATTTAAGAAACGTATTGGTGACCATTCGCGGCAGGGCTTTTTGTATCCGTCGACTTATCAACTGTCTAGAGTTAATTTTAACAATAATATTTCGTAATATACTTAATATATGTATGTATTGTGAAAAAGCGATACAGTAGAATGTTCGGACTCTTAGCATATCCCAAAAAATGTATGGATATGAAATGACCTAACTGTTGGTCCTTGGTCGGTCTTATTTTCTATATTTTGAACCCTTGAAATCTTTGATATCAAGTACGTTTCTATTTAAGTATTTGTTTTGTCGCATACATCCTATTGTAAGTCCGTCAATTATTTGGAATCTGATTTTTTGTCCTTGTTTATTTACACTGCTTTTGTAAAATAAAACGTCCCTATACCTTTTTTTTTACCAAAAACTGGCCAGTATTGACTATCTATATAATACCTGATGCTAAGTACAGATATAATATTGGATAATTCTACAGTATGGGTAATGATAAAAGTATGAGAAAAAGAGTATATATTCAAAAGCTTTATTCCGTCTGTAGTGGGCAGAGATAATAGCGTATTCTCTTATGACACATCTTTCGCCTTTCGTTTTATCATATATTCCGTTTATTTTTCTCACTTTTAAGTACCACACAAAACGTCACTGATCTTCTCTCTGAGAGTTCTTCTTACTTCTAGAACTTTTCGCATATAGTAAGTTGTGGGTGTGTGTGTGTGGTGGGTTGACGTATTTTTTTTTATGGGATCCGGGTTCATGCGTATTTGTGGATCCCGTAGTCCGTCGTCTATGTCAGTGTGTGCGTGGCCTACGAAGACATTCTATCACGGAAGCCCCCGAAAGTACACGCCGATTTAACGTCCACAGATTTAACGCAAAAAAGACAATTGCCCGTGGTAATGACGGTCATTTGTTTCTTGCGTCGTCTTTGCAAGATCTAGACTTCGTCGTGAGAAATAACTAAAGAATAAAACAATATAGCCTTTTTAAACAAGTAATTGTAATGGTCCGTATGGTGATTATACGACTTTATAATGGGACGGTGATGAGTAAAGGACTTGGATGATGACATTCTTTGTATTCGCGAACACTACACATAACTTCTTAATACAATTTCCCTCTGATTGCTGCAAAGTTTTCAGAGACGTCGAGTGTATTAAGTTGAAATAAGCTCAATAAATTCTGCATAAATATGCAGATATTATTGAGATTATTAAATAAAATTATTTCGTACTTTCAATTTTTAAATCATAAAAGAAAGGGTAGGCAGTTGATACACGTTATACGGAAAACGTAAAATTATTTATTTACGTTTGTAAATACCACATATTCAATTTAAGGAAATTATTATGTTTTCGTAGTAAATTAAATTCTCGATGTAAATTGTTCGATCATAATATTTATTGTTTATTTATATGTAATACGTTTTTCCTTCCAAGTGGAATAATTATTGGAACCAAGAGGAATGAATCGAATCTACTATAAGGGACTATCCTTTATAGGTATAAAGGATGGTCCACTAGTCTAATATCTTCATCGCACTAAGTAAGGCAATGAAGATATTAGGCTGGATTAAGCAATGTCCTTCAATTGTCTCTGGGAACGGTACACATATTATACATATATTAACACCCAGACACTAGAAAAATACTATGTTCATCACACAATATTTATCCAGTAGTGGGGATCGAACCCACACCCTCTGGCGCAGGAGGCAGGTACACTACCCACAACGCCATTCGGGTCGTCAAAATTGTCAACAGGTTGTTTTTTCAAGAATTTTCCACAGCAAATAACTACTTTATGTAATTCGTATTATAAGAATGAATTTCGAAATTGTGTGGTATTAAAGAAGTTGCTTGCTTAATTTTTTTTACATTTAGTTTTTTCTTGGTTTCAGGTATGTCATAACATCGTGGTACGTGAACTTTGCGGTATGTTCAAAAATGAATCAAATTTCAATAGAAAAAAGCTATTTTTTATTCTAATGTTCTATATGATTGCTGAAATGCAGAATGCGAAACCTGAATTATTGTAATGAGGCGTTTTATGTTACGACTCTAGATATAAGTCTATCACATGTATCTTTTGATGTACTGGTAAGCATAATTATATTTCTTCTCTTCTTTAACTTGATTTTAAGGGACACAGTTGTTCAGGCGTAATCAACTTTAATCGAAGGTTCTTTCGTGTTCGAGTCGAGTAGGTAGTGCAAAAGCACCAACAGTTGTTGGGGCCGTCTAATAAAATGGCGTTCATCAAGCTGGACCGATTAAGCCTCGCGGCGGTCTAATTGGACGCGTGTTGGTGATGCAGGAAGCAAAGCGGCGGCCGGGACCAGTTGCGTCCCGCCAATTAATCGCCCGTTCCGCCATGTTTGTTTTTAATTGGACCGCATTGTTTCGAGCGGGAACGTTCGTTGCGTCGGGAGTGCGTTCCGAGGTTTTGAAATTGGAACGAAAGTAAAGCGCGTTATATTCTTTTTTTTTTTAAAGTCGATATCTATTATGAAGAGATCCACCTATCAGATTTCAACCTATGCAACCTTTCCATTTATTTATATCTTACCTGTGCAACACCCAGTATAAAATAGGACTGTTCATAATATCAACTTATAAACTAGTTTAGTATACTCAAAATGATTTCGATGATAGCATGAAAAACGAATGATAAGTTACAGTTTCTATTGAAGCGGAAATGTTGGTACTGGATGTCCCTGATGAATGTATGTCCATTAGATATTACTTTCTGCAAGCGAAGCGCACGCATAAGTTGGCAGTGAAAATTTTTTGATCTCTGCCTACCTCTAAATTAAGGATTGTGCGAAGTTTTACTTCTTTATATATGTATATATATACTTGATAAGTATATAGGTATCCAGAGTATATATAATTATACTGTGCGTGTGTATGTGACTTCTAAAGTTCTAGATCGATTTTCATGAAATTTATTGTGGGTGATGTAGTTCAATTGGATTTGAGAATGGTTAAGCTTCACAATTCGGTCCACTACAAAATGTTTTTTTTTTAATTAATTGTTTATATATGTAAGTTAAGACGTGTGTATGTATTAATTAAAACTTATATCAGCCGGAATTTGTACACCACTACCGTGGTTGACGATCCGCTATTCGCACCGCTGCGCCTTATCGTCGGATGAGGCATACATTGTTTTAGACTGTTATAAACTGGCCCTTTTCCGCTTACGCTGCGTTATTAAACTCAACGCTGAGGGATTCGCTTTGTGCGCGCGTTGCATTAATGGAGCTCACTCCATATAGCGATTAAAATGAAACGGCCGGGCTTGGTTTCGCTGATGTAAACGCGAGCTTTGAAAGCTTTCCTCTCCCAGTGAAACCGACCCATGAATTCGATCCATGCCTTTCCCGCCAATTCGACATTACTGTTCAACTGATAGTTGTTCACTTTTAATGTTTTCAATTAAGCATACATATATACATAGCCAGTGAGCAGGCGGTTCCTGATGTTAAGTCATTACCGCCGTCTATGGACATCCACAAGCCCGACGGGGCGTAGAGGCGTTCATGTTGAACCGTTTAATAAGTGGGCCCCGGTTACCTCACTCCACTTTCACTTCACGGCAGTCCTCTGTGTGGCCATGGTATGAGCCTGCCCGGTCGGGCAACAGCCCTACCACAGTGATAACGTTTTTTTTTATGTGAAAAGTTGCCAAACGAGCAGACGGTTCACCTGATGTTAAGTGAATATCGCCGCACATAGACGTCTGCTACACCAGGGGGTTTGCAGATGCGTTGACAATCTTTTTGGAAATTGGGCTCCGGCTACCCCACCCACCAGACGAAACGCGAAAGTATTTGTCATACTTCTACTTTACGCCGGTCTTCTGTGAGGTCGTGGTACTTACCCGGACGGACCTGCCCATTCGTGCAACAGCCGAGGCTGCCGCGTGGCCCTACCACCTGAGAACTTCTTAGCTTTAATGTTTTAAAACGGGTTTTGGATGTTTTCGTCCAACTTTTACATTCAAATCGGACACGATAGCAGGCGCCGGAGATATGTTAGAATTATCTTGACATGGTGCCTGGGAATACGTTTGTTTTTGTAGTATGTCCACAATTTTGGAGTTTTGAGAGCACATCATTGGTTCTCCTTCTTCCACTAAAGCAAAAGATGTTCCTGTGATTTGTTCCTACCAATGCTCCACGAAGTAGAATTCCCCTCGAGCGAAGCCGCTTGCCCCGAGTTTTAATATTCTACGAGCAAACGTAGTGCACATGCATTGCCCATTAGTCAATTCGGTGCCGTTAATCATCAATTGTTTTATAAACAATTACACGTCTTGTTGCATTGTTTTAGGATCTTTTATTCGTCGGCTCGTAACGGTGAGTCAGTCGGTTGGTTCCAACGAGCTGTGTGCGTTTGTGTGCTTGTGAGGGCTCGCTTAGGCGGTTTTATTACGAGGGGAGAAGTTAGTAGGGTTACCATGCTGTAAGATTTTCACGTTAAAAAACGAGCCGCTAATCATTTTGCACTCGATATGTTGCCAACTGCAATTGTATGTTTTAAAATACACTTTTAATTAAAAAGTATAAGCATGTTTACGTTTCGTGCAGTATAGCTCAATGCTTTAACTCACCTTGCCCGCTGCCTTTCTTTTTGCAAATAAATACATATTATAGGTATTTATCAGGGTGTTTATATAAGTATGTAAACACCCAGACACTAGACTATATTCGTTACACAATATTTTGCCAGTATTGGGGTACCAGTCCACAGCCTTTGGCGCCAGATACAAGTTCACTGTCCATTAAGCATTGTGGGTCATTTGATTGATTGAAAATTCTTTATAACACAAAAAAAAGACGATTGGTACAAAGGCGAACTTAATGCTAAATAGCATTTTCTTCCAGTTAACTTTTTGGCGTTGAGAGCAAGTTAATGGTAGTAACGTCCGTATACATATAGATATGGGTAGTAAGGTTATCGAAATTGTGATATCTCGGGAAGTTATAAACGCCCATTTCTTACGAGGGTTTTGAACATCGCGTCAGGACACTATAACTATTTGTGGTGCTGCAGGAGTAATTTCTGTAATTGATGTTAAAGAGACACACGAATTTAGAGTTCACTGACAATTTATTTAGACCGACAATCGACATCAATTCTATCAGTGTTGCCCGCCTCTATTCGACATACACCGCACACAATCGAGGTGCTGTCCACCAATCGCTGAATGCGTGCCCACCCTCGCCTTCGAAATTAGTGAGGTGTAGGGAAGCGGAGCTTAGCTTAGTGTCGGTGTAACGGGCGACGCGGGTGGACGATGTTGTGTACAGGCGTCACGATGGACCGCGCGTACATGTCGCTGCGAGCAAGGAAGCCGCCTTCCACCACGGTGCGTGCCCCCCGGCTTTGCTTGTTCATGTTTGTCCGTTTGTTTGGTGCTGTGTATTCCGAAAGGTATTTGTCAATGTGCGGCTTCTGCCGGCGAGATGTACTAAGTTGGTTGCACTTTGGTATATTGTTTTTTTTTTTATTGCCCCAAAAGTTTTGGTCTTCGATGAGTGTGTCAGTTTTATGATGTGCATGGCTTTTTAAACGTATAAAACTGTGTACGAGGAGGAAAGGTTGCTTTGGTATCGATAAGTAGAGTTGATAGGTGACTACGTTATATCTTTAAGTCTCACGTTGTGGTGTCGATAGTCGTTAAGTCGTCATAATAGCAAAACTTTCGGTGCATATTTTCACGCCCAGTTGTCTACATATGGTGTTGGCTATATCCGTCAATGGCAAAAATACAATGTAGTTCATAAAATTCAGTATATTTTTTCCGTATTCAATGTTCACACAATACGAGGTCTTCGCTCGTAAAAAGTGAAGTCACGATACGTAAATTTATAAACATCATATATTTATATGAAATTATGTTCCATTTGCATTTATATCGTTTAAAAATAATTGTATTATGAATTATTTATGAATTATATCGATGTGCGTGTATAAGTATATCCGTGAATAGACTTTTTTTTAAAAATATGCGTCCGTCCGTTATGTTTTTTAAAAGTTCGTAATTTAAGATAAGATATAGAAATAAAAAGTTACAACGAGCTAATAAGCAGGGAGTAATTCTAAACATGTTTTTTGTAAGTTGTAAATCGCATTAAACATTGAGCAACATGGTTAAGTTGAAGAGCTGATCGTTTGCTGTAAACAGTGAAGCCATTGTTTCAAAGGTCGAACGTCTCAGACCTTATGAGCCCTTGCAATACCGAACTAGGTGCTTGCAAGTTTCTTGAATAAATCATGAATTAATATATATTTATACATATCCTTCACATATTTATATATTCTTTTTCATTCATATATTCCGTCATATAGTCACGATAGCGCATTTTTCCGGCGCTTGCTTTTGATTCAATATACTCGAGTAACCTGAGTTCGATCCCCGGGGCCGGCACCAATGAACTGTATAGATATAGATATTTATTTAAATGCTAGCTGACCTGGCAAACGTTGTCTTGCCGTATAAATTTGTAGGTAGAAGAAAATAAATATTTGGGGTGGACCACCCTTAACATTTAGGGGGATGAAAAATAGATGTTGTCCGCTTCTCCAGCCTGGCCGATATGTACACATAATTGCACGAAAATCGGTGTAGCTGTTTCGGAGGAGTTCAATTACAAACACCGTAACACGAGAATTTTATATATTAGATATATAGACACACGTATTCATATATATATATACCTACATACATATAATAATACATTATTAGACATGTCAAAAATGAGGGAAAGGGATATGGGGGCAATTTATTTCAAAATCTCACTGATATTACAACAATGGGAGAAAAAAACGGTGTTCAATTTTGTTGGGTATCTGAGTAAAGTATAAAAACGGCACTATAAAAGCCTCTTTAGTCGCGAAATTTCTAATAGAAATATCACCTATCCTACCGATTTGTTCTTTCGAAAGCAGTTGTAGTTTGTTTATTGACACACACGCGGAAGCGATGCCGACATCGCATCACGTCGATTTATCGATCGATTCGCCACACAATTGTCGTGTGATATTAGCTACGTGGTACGAATAGAGACGGGCCCTGCAAGCTTTCCTGGTTGGTGCGTCCTCCTTTGTGGGAGCGCACAGAAATAGATTTCGCCGCGGGAACCAGCTCGCTCTCGACTAGACGATCGGTCGTTGAGGATATTGGTAGAGAGCTGGCGACTGGGAGACTTATCATCGTCATTTCAGCATCAGAGCTGTGACAGCTCGGTTTCCGGGCCGCAGCGCAACCTGAGTTCAAATCGCAGTTCTAGCTCCAACGAAAGTGCTCAGAGAAACCATGAAATTTTCTAAATAATAACCAAACTTGAATTAAAAGACAGACACTGAGCAATCCGTTTATCTTTTGTAGAGTTCCGTACCCAAAGGGTAAAACGGGACCCTATTACTGAGACTCCGTTGTCTGTCTGTCTGACTGTCACAAGCTGTACTTCTTCTTCTTCTTTGATCAATGGCCTCTCTTAAAAGAATTCTGCCAATGTCATGTCAGTAAGCTGTACTTCATGAACTGTGATAGTGAGACAGTTTAAATTTTCACAGATGATGTATTTCTGTTGCCGCTGTAACAACAAATTCTAAAAAACAGAAAAAAAATGTCATATATAATATATCTCATATATCATAATATATTCCATACAACAGGCATGATTTTTTCCCCCTTTTTGTAGATAATGATACGGAACCCTTCGTGCTCGAGCACGACTCGTATTTGGCCGGTTTTTATTTATACCTCTAAGAATAACCAGTTTGAGAATCGCTGTCCAAACTATCTTTAATCCACAATGAGCTTCAGTTATACGGATATCGGGCTCCATTATACTGCCGCATTGATTTATGACTTCCACCCGTGCACGGACATTATTTACTGCGTTCACGAAACGTTGCGCGCCGCTTTGTTAAATACATCGTCTATGCGCGGGTTTGATCCCGGGTCGTCTTATATAACAGAAGCGAAGTTTTGTGTTTCTGTTCTCTCTTTACACGGCAAAAGCTCAACGTAGCCCAATGACATTTTGAATGAAGGTCACTCGATGATAATCATCATGTGACCTTCATGTATAGTTTGAAATGTGCGTGAGAAAGTGAGGGGTTGCTAGAGGTAGAAGTGGAACTAGTAGGAACTCCTGAAGAGGTTATAAAGAGGCAAGGGACGTCTGACCCCCAAAGATAGAGCATTCCATAATACACCGTGAACAAAAACTACTTAGCCATAAAAACGCTGTAAAGAAGGAAAAGTATTTGATCATTTTTCTGTATCGGTTTGTTTTCTTTCTAACTGGTCAGTGTGTCGGAAGGTGGCACTTTCTTGCGTTTACACCCCCTTGCCTTGAGAACACTCACATCATAACCATATTACGGTCACATAAAACGAATACTTGGTTAAAAGCTTACTATTTCTAGACAACAAATCTAGCCTGGAACGCATCTGTTGTCGGTTGAAATCGAAGGAACTCCGTTATCGTGTTGCGAGTTAGAGGTCAGGTGGCGGCCCACCTGCCGCTTACCGTCACGGCAGGTGACCACCCTCAGCCCCAGGCGTGAAGTACAGTGGAGCGTTTTAGGGTTCCGTAAATGAATCGGTGAAAACGGAACCATTTCAGGACCATTTGCTGCCATCTATTTGTATGTCCATATAGATCTTATTCAGAAACGGTGTTGTATATAGTTAAAATACGTATGTCGAATACTTTAGCTTTATACTATTAGCGAGGCGCTAATAGTTTAAACTAAGTCGAAGCAATCAAAAAATATTTCTATTTGACACGTATTTTTATGTTAGCATACTAATATTATCAAACCCTACAGTTCACGTTGACCTAGATGTTTGAAATTAGTCTTAAAAGGCATGGTTTTATAGTACTAATAATTAGAGTAATCTGGAAACTGTTTATTTATACGATAACTATGTTTATACGGAACCCAAAGAGTGCGAAACGGACTCGAGCTGTATAGTATCACTAGTACTCAAATACCATATCAATTGAAGGTAAGCACCAATGCAAGAAACATTATTCATAAAAATTAAATGCTTTCGTATTTGGTTGGTTCCCTCCTTACATTTTTGGTTCACTAGAAAAATACTATTTAAAAATACCATAAATCAATTACTTTGAGGTAAGCACCAATGCAAGAAACATTATTCATAAAAATTAAATGCTTTCGCCTGCCATTTATAATGTTGGCAACGCAGAAGCTATCCATATATATAAATTGTAGATCTTCATAGGTTCACTTACTCGTCTATACGTACTTATATAGTATACGTTAGTAATCACTTAACATCGTTGAATACATCTACTTTAATAAGAAGTCATTGAAATAGACCGTCTTATACTTATAAGCAAAGTGAGTAATACTCTTTTCGATGTGGTCACCACTTTAGATAATGAATACAACCCCCCTTTATTCGATTGTCCCCACGGCCCCATTCATGTTTCAGCGTAATATTATCGCCGCATTATCTTTGACCGAGTTGCACCGTTGTGGTACCTTAAATCGCTTCTCGTCATGCAGACCTCTGGAAGCTACGCTCTTAAGTGATTTGATAGTGAAATCGGATCCTTTTGTATTCTTCAAGGCAGCCTTTAAAGGTACCTCAAAGGTTTTGAGGGGCGAACCGCTCATGACATACCCGTTTGTATTGATGATTTTTTTGCGGAAATCTATCGACAATACGTATAATGATCTCTTCAGAGGGATCCCTCTTAGACTTGTTTGTATTTAAAACGGTCGTATATACCGATTAAATTCTATACCGGGAATTAATAATTGTCGATATTAAAAGTTTTATATACCGTTTAGAGTGTAGTGTACATTTAAAGATTACTTCGATTTCCATCGACTAATATAATTATGACCGAAATAAAGTTTTAGGTTTTATTATGGATAAATTGAGGTTTGAAAACCTATTTAAAATAAACCTATTAGACTTGGGCCTATTTGCCTTAAATTGTTACCGTCTTTGCGAGAGTCTTTGCAAAGCGTCTAAAAGTTTATGGAACGCCTATGCGTAGTTCTAAAAGATAAAATTTCAGTTTTTAGTATAATTAGCCCCACGTTCGACTGTTTCACTACATACTGTCTAGAGTCTGCATCTATCATCAGCTGAAAATTTTGTACGAATTTCGAATCCAATAAATCCCAAAATCTTTTTGACAAAAAGCAGCTCTAATTTTATACTGTCTTTGTATTATATATGTATATTTTCTTTTCTTTGTTGCTAAGAACGAAATACGAACTATATAGTCTGAAATTATTCAAAGACGCATTTGAGAGATATCTATCGTGGATGAACATACGAAACTATCTGATGGTCGATGAAAATTTATCCAAAACATGAACCCACGACCTGTGGTAGTAGCGCAACCACTGCGCCCATCGATTCAATGTCAATATGACAACATCTCACGCTAAATGCGAACCCACCAACACGTGCCGCGTCTTATAATTAGCAGTTATTAACATATAATACATGACATAGTGAGCGCCGTTTAAATGCAGGCAAGCACGGGCCTTTGCCCCTTGACTTTGTTGAGAAAGTAACGAGACATGTTCAGATAACATAAAAGCGGCAATAATCAGGTGTTGACGTAATGCATTCCGGAGTTGTAATAAACTTTAGCTAAAACAACGCGCTCTTTGTAGAACAAAGTATCAGATCTGTTTCAAGTCATAAAGTTCTTTGGTATTCAGCCCATTCTGAATGTGACCGCCAATGATGTTTATGGTTTGGTTGTCGTTGTTAAAATATGTTTTTCGTAAAAGATTGTCTATAATATGTGTGGAATGGTTTGGGTAGTAAGTACCAAGAACCACTGGGTCCTAGAAGTCTTCTATTGTCTTCTAGTGTACTCTATTGTCTTCTTCCCTTCGAAGCCACCATTACCTGTAGCATAACATTGTCCTATGTATTAATTTTTTTTTTACTTTTTTTTTAGTTTAAATTTAATTCTTAAATAGTTGTCTCGTGTGGGAATCGAACCCATGACCTCGGCGCCGAAGCCAGTACCTTGGCAACTGCGCTACGGAGTCATTGATATGGCTTACAATGATTTTGTACCATGCTAACAAATAAGCTCTAGTACAATTATTTGAGTATGGCAACTGTTAGTTCTGATTTTTGTTATGTGAAAAGGTGGCACGCGACCTGGCGATTCACCTGACGTTAAACGATAACCGTCGCCCATGGACAATTGCAACACACCTAGAGTTGCAGATGCGATGAATTTTAACGGGTAGGGCCACGCAGCAGCCTCGGCTGTTGCACGAATGGGCAGGCCCGTCCGGGTTCGTACCACGACCTCACAGAAGACCAGCGTAAAGTGGAAGTATGACAAATACTTTTGCGTTTCGTCTGGTGAGTGAGGTGGCCGGAGCCCAATTTTCAAAAGGTTGTCAACGCATCTGTAACCCTCGGGTGTGGCAGATGTCCATTGGCGGCGGTATTCACTTGACATCAGGTGAACCGTCTGCTCGTTTGACAACTTTTCGCATAAAATAAATAAAATGCGTTGTCACCTTTTAACAAAGTTAATCCTAAGACCAAATTTCTAATTTCCACTTATTCTTGTCACAATTTGCTTAAATTCTTAATAAATTATAAAGACAGTCAGGCGTTACAATATATTTTTAATAATGTGTTTTTATATAGACTCCACGGTCACTGTTAGGGTGTGACTTTGCTAACGTCTGCCATGACGTGCAGCGGCGATCAAATCTAATTCGCTCTTGGCATTTGGATCCCCAAGAAAACGCACGTAGGCATTTCCTCAATAGAAAAATAACAAAAAAATTAAATGCCATATCGTACTTTGCTCGCGCCGCGTCGAGAGCTGCCAATCACATAGTTTGCGTGTTTGTATATAAATAATCACTTGGCCCGTCCGCCCGAAGTTTGCTCATGTAATGTACAATGTAATACGTTCCGAGCAGTTTGAACCGGTCGTAATATTCATGCATCTAAATATTACTTCGGTGGAATGAAATACAATGATTTCTTGTATTCATATAATAATAATAACAAGCTGTCGCCCAGAAGGCGAAATTCGACCATAATTAATTATACATCGTAGTGCGGGTATTGCTTTTTTATTGATTTTAATGTATTTTTTATTCATAATTAAAAAAAATTCAAACCTAAAAAATTCGCTATAAGTGTGGAAAATTTTATACTACTCCATTCGCGCAATTTTCGTAAAAAAAGGTACAAAGTTTTTGCTTCACGTATTGATATATAGATTGATGATAAAACCTTTTATTCGGACAATATATATACAATTATGTTTCTCACACTACCGCAATATTCTACACATATTTTAGATATTTAAATAATTAAAATTGTCCGCTTATTTGGTGCTTCTTCATATTCCTCCAACCTACCTACTCTAGTCTGATCTCTCTCTGGTTACTCTACCCCATGTTATTATGCCTACAACCTGCCTTATATCATCGTCCCATCTTTTCTGCTGCCATGCATTTATGGGAATACTGAACATTGTCTAATGAAAATATCTCGATAGATTCTGTCCCTTGCCTGCTGTAAAGCGTTTAAACCGCCGTGAATTCGAAAAAATAAAATAAAACGCGACGGTCTCCTTAAAATAATTATATTTAACCTTGTCACAGGGGTGTTTATATATAGATAAACTGATGACTGATGACGTGGCGCAGTTGCCAAGGCATTGGCTACGGCGTCGGGGCTCGTGGGTTCGATCCCCATACGCGACAACTATTTGTGTGATCTACAGATAGTTGTTTCGCATCTGGGTTTTGTCCACGTGAAATTTATTTTTGTAAAATGTCCTTACAACACAGGATAATGGTATCCCAAAGTAAGGGCTATGTTTTTAAAAGAGAGTAAAAAAAAGAGATAAAGAAAATCGAGTGAGACGCCGTAACCAGTATCATCAAGTCACATGACTTATGATAATCGCCGTGAGCCCCACATCGCACACGCGGCGAAGACCGACGTCACAATGACGCTACACAATGTATGATTGTATGTATGAGTTTATCGGATAACTCATTAGTTTAGCAAGGGCTGAGATGTACGTTGAATACGACCTTGGCCTTGATCTAGTTAATGGCTCACACTCGGTGAAAAGTTTTTCTTTATGGTTTATTTTTTTAACGGAGGACATGGCAAATAGCAAGCCGCTTGAGCCGTTTCTTATATATTGTCCGAAATCAGAATTAACTTTCTGAGTGGCAGTTAAATTGGTGATTCCGTGGCGTTTTTGCCAAGGTATTGGCTTCGGCGCCGGGGGTCGTAGGCCGTGGGTCGGGTCGTGCATGTTATTCCGCGTGAAATTTATGTTTGTAAAACGTCCTTACAGCACAGGATAATATTATCCCAAAGTAAGGGCAATCTTTTTATAAAAAAAAGAAGAAAAAGAAATTAAATAAGATGTGAATTCTTCGCCGATCTTAAGTAGTTGTAGTTAAAGATTGCTCCTTCAGGAGGATGGTATGGGTGGAAGAACTGTGAGAGTTCCTCGCCTTGGAGCACAGACATGGGTTACCTTAGCCTCCATGTCCAAGGGATTAATTGATTGAAAATTCTTCATTGCACCAATATGTTTGTACAAAGGCGAGCT